GTGGGTAACCTGAAGCTCCTCCTCCTCCTCCGTCTCCCACTGCTGCAGCTGCCGCTGAGGGGGGTGGGTGTGTGGGAGCCGAGGGTTTAGGGTTTAAGGGGGGTGCCGTGGGAGTGGAGCTAGGGTTTCAGCAGGGGGTGTGTGAGAGGGGTGTGGGACGGTCGGGGGAGGTTGAGTGGAGGCTGCTGTCTTGTCGTCCGCAACACCTGTAGTCCGGGGTGCACTGTCCTGGTAGCTCAGAGAGCCTGCTGCACCTGTTGCCCGTGGGTCCGTTGCTCCTGCCGCTCGTCGCAGCCGCAGAGCCTGTTACTCCTGTATTCCGGGACGCACTGTCTCGGTAGCCACTGAGAGCCTGCTGCACCAGTCGCCCGTGGGTCCGTTGGTTCTGCCGCTCGTCGTAGCCGCAGAGCCAGTTACTCCAGTATTCCGGGGCGCTCTGTCTCGGTAGCCACTGTGTCAGCCGCCACTGTGTCAGCCGCTTCTGTTGCCCGTGTGTCTGCAGCTTCAGTCGTCGCCTCCCATCTTCTCTCCTTTCATAGTCCCTCCTCCTCCTCACTTGCCCTCTGTGATAGCCTCTAGCTTTGCTGATAATTATGAACTATTGCTATGACTGCTCATTGTGCTGATTACACCCCACTTTGGCTATGGGGGTGTGTCAGAATATGTTGTTTGTGTAGCCTGCAGTGGGGTACTCAATAGTGAGTACAGCCCCTTAGGGTTTGCTATTTGTATCCTGCTGCTTGCTAGTTCAATCACCCCTTCTCAATTCTGTTCCTGCACACAATCCTAGCTCGTACTTGGCGCCTCCTTTCGTAGTCCTACTGTGGCCTAGGCTACTAAGCCTAGGCCGTACTCCTACTATATCTGACACAATGGTGCGCTGGTGCCTCGGGAGTGGGGGGCAAAATTGTAGGCCGAACCTAATTGACGCGAGACCCTTGGAACATCCCCGCTACTGCTAGTTTACAGTAAGGAATAATAATTCCTTACACCTCCGCTCAGGGGAAACCATTGCGGGGTTGCCTAATTCATCGAGCACAGACTTCCCCCAGTTCCCCCCATATGCCAAGCATGGTAATATGGAGTTCAAAGTATTCTTGTATGAACCCACGAAGAGCTGAACAGAGGAAGGGAAAAAAGAAATGGACGATGGGTGTATTGAGGAACGTAGCAAGGGACGAAGGTGTGAAGGGAATAAATAAAGAACTGCAAAGGAGTGGATAGGAGGAGATGAGCAAGGGAGGATGGGAGGAAACGAGGTAGGGCGGATGGGAGGAGAGGAGGACATGGGGGAGAGAGGTGGACAGGGGGGGAGAGGAGGACGAGGGGGATGTTACGATACGAAAACGTAAGAATTGACTAAGGAAAGTGAAAACAAGCAAGATATATGAGACCTAACCCTAACCACAGGAGATATGAATGTAACACCTAGACTAACCTAAACAACACATATAAAATATGTGTTGACACACCCCCATAGTCTAGGTGACGGTACCATAGTCCTGTGGAAAGCAACACAAATCTCAGGTTGGGTCTCAAGGACACACACAGGCAAGCAAGGATTACATGACCAGTCAGTAAGAACAAGCAAGGGTCACAAGACCAGTCCACAAGAACAAGCCAAACCTCAGGGTGGAGCTCAAAGTCACCACACACTTCGAGAGCAAGCAAGAGGCCACAAGGTCAGTCCATATGCAGGTAAATAGCAAATATAAGGAGATGCAAGAGAACAAGACAAGCAGGACAAAGCATATCTACGTAAGCAAGTGAGGACGGGCAGGCACAAGGCCAAGCTGAGTGCAAAAACGCTGGTGGTCACAAGGCGGCAACGCCTTGGTGAAGATATCTGCCGTGTTTTCCTCAAAGACCACACGTCGTACGAGTGCCTCGCCACACTGCTGCAACTCACGCAGAAGTAACGAAGCTGGATGTGCTTCGCCTTCCCAACCAGCCGAGGCTCCTCACACAACAGGACAGCATACCTGTTGTCGGCGAACGAGACTGGGGGAGAGCGAGGCCGCTCACCAAGGTCGGTGAGAAGGAGAGACAGCCAGCGAAGCTCCTGAGCGGCCATGGCCGCAGCGTACGACAGCTGGAACCGGAGACGGACGACGCCGGAGTCGACCGCCACGAAACAGCACATGTCCCGAGGCTAAAGGAGTACCCCTGTGTATTCTGACGCGTCTCCGCGTCGTCGGCCCACGACGAGTCCGAGTAACCTGTGAGTGTAACTGGATGCTTCCCTCCAAGGACAAGTCCCATGCCTGATGTACTCGCCACATACTTCGCCACCCTCTTAGCAACGTACCAGTGGGACGGTCGGTCTCCCAGGCGCAACAAAGCGCGCAAGGACGCTAAGAGGGTAAGCTAGGTCTGGGCGAGTACAGGTCATCAGGTACATGAGACAACCCACCAGCTCAGGATATGGACCACTGGACTCAAATGACTCGTCCGAAGCTGGAGCCGTGAGCCCATGATCCACAGCAAGTGGGGTGAGCTGTACCTTGGAGAACGGGAAGCGAAACCGCGTGAGGATCTGCTCGACCATATGCAACTGAGTCAGCGTAATGGTGCGAGCTGCCCTGTCCCTGGTGATTTGCAGGCCAAGGTAGTCCTGCAGCTCACCAAGGTCAGTGCAAGTGTGTCTCCTCTGCAGTTCCTCCTTCACCGAGGCCAGCGCGCGTCGGTCGGGAGTGGCGAACACCAGGTCGTCTACGTAGACCAGGACAAAGAACGGGGTCGAGCCACGGCGGACGAATAGTGACCGGTCGGCAGACGACGGAAAGAAGTTCAGCGCTGCAAGGGTCGAGCGAAGTGTGTCGTGCCACTCACATGGAGCCTGACGCAGGCCGTAGACTGGTCGACGCAACTTCCACTGGGTCCCAGGTGGGAAAGAGCCAGTGAATCCAGGCGGGCGACGCAGCCAGATCTGCTCGTGCAGGCTCCCCTGAAGGAACGCAGTGGAAAAGTCCAAGGAGTGCAACTCGTAGTCGCGCTGGGCTGCAATATGCAGCAACACCCGAAGAGTACTCATCTTCGGGGTGGGAGCAAAGGTCTGGAAGAAGTCCACCCCCTCTCGCTGACTGAAGCCTCTCGCCACATAGCGCGTCTTGAACACTGGTGGTGATCCAGGCGGCCGCTTCACCTTGTAGAGCCATCGGCCACTGACGATGTTCGTCCCAGGTGGTGGGACTGCGTCAACGTAAGTGCCTGTGGACCTATAAGATGCCATCTCCGCCTCCTCAGCTGCTATCCAGTACGAGGCCCAAGGTCCAGAGACCGCCTCAGCGTGATTGCGAGGGATCAGAATGTGGGCAAGCAGCATGGCGCGGAGATGAGGAACAGCGGCCGCAAGGAAACCAAGCTCGAACTGCCTATCCTCTAGGACCTCCGGGGGAAAGACAGGAGCACCCCCAGAGGACGGAGAACGAGCAGGGCCACTCACCAGGTGAGCAGCGTGTCACAATAGATTTATATCTATTTAGTATAATCTGCCTGTAGTGTAGCTGTTGTGTAATTCCCTTGTATGGTGGTGCACCTCTTTCATCTTTGTTAGGTTGCTATATGTACTCGTGTGCTATAGTGAACCTCCACACATTCTTCAATTCTCCTTGGTGACAACCACCTCGACACCCTCTTGGCCTAGGCTACTAAGCCTAGGCCCTTAGTGAACCCCGGTTCCTAGTTAACTTAGTATTGTAACATGGTATACAGCTAGGTCCGATTTAGGACCGTTCGTTTTACATGGGCCCACCACTAGCCCTCGTCGTGGCGCATCCCGTCGCGCAGCCCGTAGGGCGCATCGTGAGCGCCACGATGATAAGCTCGTCGCGCTGCCCTGCTGCAGCTCGTCGCCCCGCGCTACCCGCTGCTGCAGCCCGTCGCTCGTCTCGTCGCGCTGCCGCCCGTCACCCGCCTCGTCGACCGTCGCCCGTCCCGTTGCGCTGCCGCCTGTCACGTCACGTCCCGTCACCTGCCTCGTCGATTGACACCCGCCCCTGTCTCGCTGCAGCCCGTCGCCCGTCCCGTCGCACTGCCGCCCGTCGCCAGATCCCCGCCACCCGTACGCACTCCGCTGCCAGTCGCCAGGTCCCTGCCCGCCCGTCGACTTCGCAACTGCTGTGAAGGGAGTGGCGGGAGTGGCGAGAGTGGTGGGAGTGGCGGGAGAATCTGCTGCTACACCATTGCACGCGCCAGATCGTCCGCGACCCGCACCCCGCACCCCGCCCGTCGCCCGTACGCCATCCGCACCACGCACGACGTCCGTGCCCCCGTCCGCGAGACCCGTCCGAACCCCGTACCTGCACCCAGACCGCCGTTCTGCCCCAGATCCCGCCCCCCCCCACCGACAACTGCCACCCCACCCCCATCTCCGGCTCCGTATCCAGGGGACGGCTGGGGGAGGGGGAGTGGCGGGGTTGGCGGCTCATGTAAGGGAGAGGTTGAGGGGGTGGGTGATCCATCTGCAGCTACTGCCGCCACACCTCCCCCTCTCTCTCTCCGCCGCTGCTGCTGCTGTGGGGGGGGAGGTTCAAGGGGTGTGGGTGGTGAAATTTCAACTGCAGCATCATCCGCCTCCTCCTCCTCTCATCCCTTGCTGCCCGTGCCTTGCTGTCCACCCGTGATTCTGCCCGTACTGCTGCCCGTGATTGTGCCCGTGATTATACCCGTGTGTTGCCCGTATTTTGCCGGTGTTCTGCCCGTGATCCTGACCGTGATTCTGCCCGTGATTCTGCCTGTGATCCTGCCCGTGTTGCTGCCCGTTCCCGTGCCATACTGACCGTGCACCTCCTGTGCTCCCGTGATCCTGTGCGACTCATGCTTCTTGTGCTTCTCGTGCTGCCCCGTGGTCCTGTGCTGTCCCGTATTGCCCGTACTTCCCCGTGCTTGCCCCGTGCCCGTGCCCGTGCTGTCTACCCATGTTCCCTGTGCTTCTGCTCTTGCTCTACCCGTGCTGTTTGTTCCCGTGCGTGCCCCACCTGTACCACCCGTGCTGTCAGTGCCCGTGCTGCCCCGTTCTGCCCGTGCTACCTCGTGCTCCTGTGCTGCCCCCGTGTTCCCGTGCTGCCCCCGTGTTCCCATGCTGCCCCCGTGCTGCCCCCGTGCTCCCGTGCTGCTCCCATGCTCCCGTGCTGCCCCGCTCTCCCCGTGCTGCCCCGTTCAGCCCTTGTGCTGCCCCGTTCTGCCTGTGCTGCCCCGTTGTCCCCGTGTTGCCCCGTTCTTCCCGTGTTGCCCCGTTCAGCCCGTGTCCTGCCCCGTTCAGGCCGTGTCCTGCCCCGTTCTGCCCGTGTTGCCTCGTTCAGCCCGTGTCCTGCCCCGTTCTGCCCGTGTTGGCCTGTTCTGCCCGTGCTGCCCCGTTCTGCCCGTTTGTGTCCTACCCGTGCTGTCCGTACCCGTTGGTGCCCCACCCGTGCTGTCAGTTCTCGCTCGTGCCCCACCCGGTCTGTGCTGCCCGGTCTCGTGCTGCCCGTCACCCCCGTGCGGCCCGTCCCGTACAGCACCTAGTTGCTACCCGAACCCGCTACCCGTACCCGTGCTCCTCGCACACCGTGCACCAGCTGCGGGGCGATCAACCGCAGCCGGGCACCTGTTCCACCGCGGTGGTTCAGATGCTGCTTGGTGGTTGCTGCTTGTCAGCTTCAGAGGGGGCCCCTTGCTGGTGTTCCCACGCCCTGTAATGGGGTTTTACAGGTGTACCCCTTCAAGGGGGGCTCTGCACATGGTTATGCACTTCAGGCAGATAGGGGGTGTGTCACAATGGATTTATATCTATTTAGTATAATCTGCCTGTAGTGTAGCTGTTGTGTAATTCCCTTGTATGGTGGTGCACCTCTTTCATCTTTGTTAGGTTGCTATATGTACTCGGGTGCTATAGTGAACTCTCAGAAAGTGAATGCAACGGAATGTTTGACTTAGGAGAGCAAGGCATACAAATAGAAACCCTAAGAGTGTTGTACTCCTTAGAGTGCTACTCACTGCAGCCTACAACCAATAACAACATTTGACACACCCCCGTAGGCTAAGTGAGGGGCATCAAAGCAAGCATGGTGAACAAACAGTCACAAGACCAGTCAAAGCAAGAAACAAGGCAAGCTCAGGGTGGATCTCAAGGACACCACACAAATTCCGAGAACAAGCAAGCGGCCACAAGGCCAGTTCAAGAGTTCACTAGGATATATATATGAAAACACAACAAGCAGAGCAAGCAACAAGACTACAGCAATCGAGGGCCTACCTCAACAAGCCCCAACTGCACATAAAACCTGTGGTGATCACCAAGCGCCAAGGCCTTGGTGAAGACGTCTGCAGTGTTGGCCTCTGAGGCCACAAAGTCCAGGCGTGCCTGGCCGCGTCGCTGCAGCTCTCGCAGGAGGAAGTACCTCACGTCAATATGTTTCACTCTGCTCTCCAGTCGAGACTCTCGACACAGGAGGATCATGGCCTTGTTGTCAGCGTACAAGGTCGGTGCAGAGCGAGGCCGCTCACCAAGGTCGGCGAGCAAGAAGGTCAACCAGCGAAGCTCCTGAGCCGCCATGGCACCAGCGTAGATCTCTGCCTCTGCACTGGAAGTAGCCACAGACGACGACCGTGTAGACCTCCACGACAAAGCACCAGCTCCCAGACTGAAGCAGTAACCCTGAGTCGAGCGCTGAGTCTCCACGTCGTCAGCGTAGGAAGAGTCGCAGTGACCAGTCAACGCCACTGGCTGAGTCCCTCCAAGCACAAGCCCCATGCCTGATGTAGTCGCCAGGTACTTCGCCACCCTCACAGCAGCTGTCCAGTGGACAGGACGGTGTCTCCCAGTCGCAACAAAGCGAGAGAGGACGCTGAGGGGAAAGGTGAGGTCCGGCCGAGTACAAGTCATCAGGTACATGAGGCAGCCCACCAGCTCTGCGTAGGGACCACTGGGTTCAAAAGGCTCGTCGGGAAAGGGGCCAGTGAGTCTGTGGTCAACAGCAAGAGGTGTGGGCTGTGTGGTGGAGAACTGGAAGTCGAACCGCCGAAGGACCTGCTGCACCATGTGTGACTGAGTCAATGTGATGGTGCGAGCGGCTCTGTCCCTGGTGATCTGCAGGCCAAGGTAGCGCTGCAGTTCACCTAGGTCAGTGCCCGTGTGTCTCTTCTGCAGTTCGGACTTCACCTGAGCCAGAGCTTCCCTGTCTGCTGTGGCAAAGACCAAGTCGTCGACGTACACTAGTATAAAGAAAGGAGTGGAACCAGTGCGAACAAACAGCGACGGGTCGGCAGAGGAAGGACAAAACCCAAGGTCACGAAGCGTGGAGCGAAGAGTGTCGTGCCACTCACGGGGCGACTGGCGGAGACCGTAGACTGGCCGTCTCAGGCTCCACTGGGTCCCAGGTGGGAAGGTGTCAGTGAAGCCAGGAGGGCGGCGCAGCCAGATCTCCTCGTGTAGTCGGCCCTGGAGAAACGCAGTCGAGAAGTCAAGGGAGTGCAGCTCGTAGTCTCGCTGTGCTGCTACGTGCAGTAACACCCGAAGAGTAGTCATCTTCGGGGTCGGGGCGAAGGTCTGGAAGAAGTCAACTCCCTCACGCTGACTGAAACCCCTAGCCACGTAGCGCGCCTTGAACACAGGCGGTGAACCAGGCGGCCGCTTCACCTTGAAGAGCCACATGCCATCGACTACGTTCGCCCTGGGAGGGGGAACTGCGTCGACGTAGGTGCCTGTGGATCTCCAAGACGCTAACTCCGAGGCCATATCCGCTTTCCACTGTGAGGCCCACGCCCCTGACACTGCCTCGCGGTAAGTGCGAGGAGTCGGTATGTCAAGGGCGTCGGGGTCTCCCTCAGGGGATAGCAGCATGGCACAGACAGAGGGAGAAGCGGCTGCCCAGTACTCCAGCTCAGACTCTCTGTCCTCTAGGACGTCACAGCCAAGGGCAAAACCACCCCCGACGGATGGAGGACGGGAGGGAGGAGCTGGCACCACACGGGTGGTGTAGTCAAAGCGACTGGCGGCAGCAAACTCAGCAACAGCGGCAGTGAGAGCCGAGACAGACGACGGAGGGAAACGAGAGTCGGTGACAAGAGTGGCGAGGACACGAGAGACAACAGGACGAACAGCGCGGTAGTAGTCAGTGACAGGAGTAGGGGGGAAAGGGAGAGAGGACGGAGGTGGACACGGGAGAATGGACTCAGGAGGAGGATGACGAAGAGACGAACAAAGGAGGGCAGTGCGGAGGTCGGTAACGGGAGACGAGTGACGAGCACGCGGAGGACAGGGACGGACATGAGAGTGCGGGACACCAGGTGGAGGAGACTGCGGTGGAGGAGAAGACCAGACCGCCGGACGGGCGTCAGGAGGAGGAAACGTGGGACCAAACGGTGGAGGGGACGGAGTGTGAACAGGAGGAGAGGAGGGAAGACCAAGGGCCCGAAGGCCACTCACGGGTGGGAACAACTGCCGCTCCAGAGGGAGCTGCTGTGGTCGCAGCTGCGGCGGCGGTGTCTGCTGCTGCTGCGGCTGCTGCTGCTGCGGCTGCTGCTGCTGCCGCCGCCGCCGCTGCTGCTGCTGCTGCTGCTGCTGCTCCAGCAGGTCCATCTGCCGCAACTCCTGCCGCTCCCTCTCCAACAGCACCTGCTCCTCACGCTCACGCCGACGGGCCGCCTGGAGACGTGTGTCGTGGCGGTGGGGAGGCGGAGTGGACTCCGCAAAACCAGTGTCTCCTGCTCCAGTCTCCTCAGAACCAGCACCTCCAGTGCCAGCACCCCCAGAACCAGCACCTCCTGTGCCAGCACCTCCAGCTCCAGCACCCCCAGAACTAGTACCACCAGTGCCAGGACCTCCAACTCCAGCACCCCCAGAACTAGCACCTCCAGTGCCAGCACCTCCAGCTCCAGCACCCCCAAAGCTAGCGCCACCTGCGCCAGCACCTCCAGCTCCAGCACCCCCAGGACTAGCACCTCCAGTGCCAGGACCTCCAGCTCCAGCACCCCCAGGGCTAGCGCCACCTGCGCCAGCACCTCCAACTCCAGCACCCCTCAAACGAGCACCCCCGGACCGAGTACCGCCAGTGGCTGCACCTCCAGCTCCAAAACCAACCGAGTCCACAGTAGCCTGTCGCGGAAGTACCGAAGGCTGCTGAGGGGACTGTGAGGAGGACTGCGGGGAGGGAGCCGCTACCTGACGCGCGACCGAGGGTAGAGGGGTAGCGTGAGACACACCTGACAGGGCAGGACCAGGGGGGGGTGGGGGTACCGGAGGAGCGGGAGCAGGGGGAAGAGAGGGTGCGAGGAAAAGGGGGGGAAGGGGAACCGGGAGACCTCGACAGGGGTACCTGGTGTAGTAGGACACTGACTCGTCGAACCGGACGTCACGGGAGTCTAGGAACTGGTGGAGGGGCGGGTGGTAAAAGGACCAGTCAGCCGAGGCTACCGGGAAACCAAGGAAGACACAGGGGACGGCGCGAGCCGAGAGCTTGTCCGCAGAGGTGTCGCGGACAAGCGCAAGGCAGCCCCAGACACGAAAAGCTGACCCAACACCAGGGGACCCGGTCCAAAGACTGGTCGGTGAAGGCTCTGGCCGCGAGACGCGCGGCTGGAGGTTCAGCTGGTGAGCGGCGTAGCGAACCGCGTAGGGCCACAGAAAATGGGGGGCACGGGCATGAATCATGGACGTGCGGGCGATGTCCATGACCAAGCCAATGCGGCGCTCAGCAACCCCATTCTGCTGCGGGGACTCCGGCAGCGTCCAGGACTGTACAATGCCCTGCTCGCCGCAGAATCCGGCAAGAATGCCTGAGCGAAACTCACCCCCACGGTCAGAGTGGAGACAGGAGACACGACGGCCACGAGTGCCCTCAGTGGCTAGAAGCCACCGGATCAGCGTAGAAGTCACCTCGGACTTCTTCGCGAGAGGAAACACCGTGGTGTACCTGGAGAAGTCGTCGACGACCACCAAAAAGTAGCGCTCCCTCTCAGGTCCCTGCGTAGGTGCAGGGCCCCAGACATCCAAGTGGAGTGTCTGGAAGGGAGCAGTGGCCGGACGAAGGGAGGAGGAGTGCGGAGTGGCACGAAGACGGCCGGCGACGCAAGGAGTGCACGGCGGCGCAGGCGAGGGAGGGAGCGACGGGAAGACGCGAGGGAGACCTGAGACAAGACGGTGACTAGCCATAGTGCGGAGGCGGGGGATCGACGTGTGGCCAAGACGGTGGTGCCACAAGACGGTCCGGTGGGTGAAAGACCGGCACGAGCAAGACGCAGCAACTAGACCGGACACAGCAACCTGACCGGACACAGCAACCTGACCGGACACAGCAACTGGTGGGGACGCAGTAACCTGACCGGACTCTGCTACCGGGGGGGACGAAGCAACCTGACCAGACGCAGCTACCTGCGGGGGCACAGTGTGCAGGATGAAGAGACCTGAGTGGGGCTCTCTGGTGAACGTGGCAAGAACTGCCCCGGTGGAAGAGTCCGTACAGATCGGAGTCCTCCCGTGCGCAGGAAAAGTGACTGTGATCCCCCGGTCCTGAAGGTATCCAACACCCACCAAGTTCCGAGAGAACGAGGGGATGTAGAGACGAGTGAGGAAACTAGAGGGGACAGCTGGGCACGGGAGAGTGGTCGAGCTGCGAGCAACTGCTGGTCCTGAAGTAGGATCAGCCAGGGCAACTGGGACTGGAGCCGAAAGAGGTGTGACAGTGGTGTGGTCGCGAAA